TCGATATATACTGCAGGTCGATTATGATGATCCATTTTATCCTCAGTGGTTACACGAATTGATAGAAGGTCCGGTCGCGAAGGTCACCACGGCATCTATGTATTTCACACGTGGATACACTTTCCACACTTACGAATATGGAAACCGGAGAGCAACAATGAACTATGGAGTATGTGTGAAAGGCGAAACAGATTTTTACGGAATCATACAAGAGATCATCGAAGTGGAGTTCCCCGGCATGAAGCTCAAATGCGTACTCTTCAAATGTGAATGGTTTGACCCCACTGTCAATAGAGGTGTTCGGTATAGTAAGTTTGGTGTTGTTGACGTAAATGCCACACGGAGGTACAACAAATTTGAGCCATACATATTGGCTTCTCAGGCAGACCAAGTATGTTTTATACCTTACCAAAGGATCAGACAATCTGGAAGTTCCTGGTTATCCGCTATAAAAGTTACACCTCGGGGCCGAGTATTGAACGATGAACAACCGCCTTTACAAGAAGATGTCGTAAATGAAGTAGAAGTACCTGAGAAACGTATTGATGATATCTTACTTGTTGATCCGCATAATCCGATATATGAAGAACTTCCAGATGATGCGATTTTGGACGAAGCCAACGAAGATGAATTTGAAGAAAGTGATGAGGTGGAAAATGTTTCCGATGACGAGTGATGATTAAGTGTGTTTGATTATGTACTCTGCCGTCAGTTGTATTTGATTCCGTTATGAAATACATTATGTTTGCATTATATTATGATCCGACTAATATTCCGATATCTTAATTATGTTTGCATTATGAAATTTTTTTGGAGTTTCGAGATTTGATACGTGTTTGCGGTTTGTGGTTATTGGGGTTTAGGGGTTGGAGGTTTGTGGTTTGGGGTTTAGGTTTTACGTTTGTGGTTTGTAATTTAGGGTTTAGGGTTTAGGCGACTACATTACGACTAATAAGTAGTTGGAGCCTAAGTAGTCGTAATATTACGACTACATTACAACATTTAGTGGTAACGTAGTCGTAATAATTCGACCCTGATTGGTCGTAAT